CAGGTTTTTATGCAGGAATAAGGAAAACATGATAAATTATAAATATAAATATTTCATGATACCCGAGCCGATAATAGAGAGCTCCTTATCCGTGTGGATCTTTAAATGGGTTAATAATGGAGTCAGGAAGGGAATGACCAGGATGTCACAAACCTCATCAAAGTACTTTTTATTCCTGACACCTTAAACCACACCTGATCTGCCCGGTGCATCGTGGTTAATCCTCTTTAGAAGCTGATCTGTGGCGGTCGTACGTATAGTCTCAAAAACAACGTTACGATATTCATCCAGCCTGGACTTTGGTGTTATAATCAGATTCTTCAGCCATGTCTGTCTGCTGGTAGCGGATGGGGAAAAAACCCAATGATTGATGGAAAAACCTTTGAGGTTCATCTTTGTCTGATTCATTGTGCCACATGAAACAGCACAACAGGTAGATCAAACATTTCCTCAGGTCTGTGATTCTCTCAGACTTCTCCTGACTTGAAAAGTGCTATATAAGTACAGCCCATTTACCCGAATCTTTTATAAAGCAAAGTATCCTACAGTCACATGTGAGGCCATTTGTCAAAAGCCAGGCATACACTGCAATATTTTCAATCGTCGCACACAACTACAGCTAAAACTGTACGACGAAATCGCAGGGTTTAAAGGTTCACAGCTCCCAATGTATGTTCTTACACTGTGTGACCCGACACTGATGCAATCTACCTGAACACACTGTACGTATAAAAACCACACATCAGACTCAGTGCCAAGAGATGGAGCTGGTTGGACTCGTCAATCTGGAAGAAGAACTCTTCATGCGCAGTGCTACAGGTTTCTGGTAAATCGGCTCGTAGCTGTGCTTCAATAGCAACACCTCAAACATGTTTGATTTTCTCCCGATCTTACGATTCCTGATGGGGAGGTGATCGTGAGAGGCTAATCCCCCCTTGTTACCTCCTGTATACTACACCATGCATGATCAAATTCTTGAACGTCTGGCGAATTGGCCCCAAAAGGAGAAAAACATTGTACAATGTATTCCCGGCTTAAAGACTGAAGCTTAATTTATCGGAAAATTGATCTTAAAAACAAAAAACAACCAACACCTAGTCAAAGCCGAGGCCCCTAACTGATTAGAAGTCAGTAATTTCATACGCCTTTGGTTTTATTAAGCAACTATTAAGTGAAGGAATGTTGAAGAGAAAAAAAATGGCTAAGCATTGTACAAAATGAGAGAGACTCAGAGACTTACAAAGAGTTACCTTTGCTCAGAGGGAATCTGTTGCCCATCATTGGGGAAACAATTTTCACTTAAAGCTCCAGGAGTTAAATGCTTTGTTACTAGCAAAGTAAAGGGATGATTCATAAAGAAACAAGTTGGCGCTCTCTGATAGTTTAAAGGTATTTATCAACCCTCTACCCAGAGCTTCCGCCTCGCGCCATCCGGACGGAGTCCATCCCAGAGTCCATGCTTGAGTCTGCTGAGCAGCTGATGGTGGAGGACCTCTACAACCGAGTTCGTGACATGATTGATGACCGCAGCCCATACAACACTCCCTGTGTGCTGGACATCCAGAGAGCCATGATCCAGGACCGCCTGGAGGCTCCCGCCAACCCCGTGGACGAGGTCTGGCCCAACATCTTCATCGCTGAGAAGTAAGTCGTGAAAACTGGAGAGATTTCCATAAAAACAGCAAACTAAATTAGATTCGACAATTACAAGATACATTATGTTTATGGATGTGACCAAAATTTGTTTTAACATTTGCAAAGGAGATAATTTTCTTGGCTTTGGAATCTCTCACGTTCCGTTCTCCCACAAAAATCCAACATGTCTGGACGCTTTCTGCATCCACGTTTTAGGTCCGTTGCAGTCAACAAGGCCCGTCTAAAGAGAATGGGCATCACTCACATCCTGAACACGGCTCATGGCACTGGGGTCTACACCAACGAGTCCTTCTACGCCGGCATGAACATCCAGTACAGGGGAATCGAGGTGGATGACTTCCCTGACGCTGACATCGCGACTCACTTCAGACCCACTGCTGAATTCCTGGACGAGGCTTTGCTCACGCACAAAGGTGAGAGTTCAGGGAGTTCAATCCTGACCCTAACGACTCCACTGGAGTCCTTAGAATACATGTTAAGACACTGCAGTTTCCCATGAAAGGTATTCGGTGCCTCACTGGTAACATATGTGGGAAGATTCTCAGGCATCTTGGGCATGGTCAAGCTTGAAAAGTTCAGTTTAGGTATCTGCCTTTATTGAACTTTCAAGCATGCCTCACTGGCCTACTTCCAGATGAAAGTCCAAGGTCAGTCAAACGATGATCAGGGGTGGATTTACCATTAGGCAATACTAGGCAGTTGCATAGGGACCCAAGTTCCCCATACAACTGTTTACATGTATGGTTAATACAACTATTCCTTGTTTGTGCGCATTAATTATGTTTTTTCACTAAAATGCCATCAGAACGCTGATAATATTAAGTGTGTCTCAGCCCCTCCCTTCAGTGTCCACCATATTGGATCAGTCCATTTGCTGCACATGTTCAGAAAGGTCCAAACAGACAGCAGCAAACCATTTGAAAACAAACCATGCAAAGAGCAGTGTTGGCCCTAGGCAAAGACAGGCAGGGGGCCCTCTGAATTAAGAAGGCAACACATAAA